AGATGGATGGAGAGCAGCCACACAGTGCCCGACTCGTTGTCGAAGAGCCACCGCAGCTTGTCAGCCAGCGCCAGCGCAGTGCGGCTGGACTCCGTCACCTCCTGGAGCCAGAGCATGTTGGCAAGCATGGGCAGGACCATGTCACTGGCATCACCGTCGCCATCCTCTGGCTGCTCCATGACGATAGGCAGCAGGACGAGGGATTTCTTTGCTATGTCTGGCCTCTCAGTGAGCGTGAGGATGCCCCTGAGCACCAGTCTGGGCATCTCCGGATGCTGGCTCTTCAGATAGGTGGCGAAGATTTCCAGGGCATGGTCCTGCTCTTCGTTGAGGTTGGTGCAGCCCAGCATCTCGATCAGAAAGGCCATGGTGACCATCTCCTGGATGGGGTCCTCCACACTGAGGAGCTCTGCCAGGCAGAAGAAGATGGTGGAGCACAGGTGTTTTGGGGTCTTTGTCATCTCCCTGGCCATGATGCACACTCCCAAGAGGTGGGTCTCAGTGCGGAGCAGGGCATCCCAGCCACCCTGCACCTCGATGGCCAGCACCTGCTCCTCAAAGCCCATGCTGCAGAGCAGTAGTCTCATGGAGTACACCAGGGACCTCAAGGGAGTGAGCGGATCCTGTTCGTCCTCCTGCCAGAAGATATGCACCTCCTGCAATATCAGCTCCCTGGCGAAAGGCACTTGAAGAAGCAGTGCCAGGAAAAGCCGGGGGAAAATCGCCTCCACCACCTGCGGGTGGGTGGGCTGCACGAGGATCTTTGTTATCATTCTGGTTGAAGCCAGGGAGAGGATGCATGCATCATCCTGGGTGAAGGTGGAAGTCTGGCGCATCAGCGGGTCCATCAGCATGTCAAGCAGCCCCCGCAGCACCCTCTCCACAGCCTGGGGCTGGGAGAGCCAGGGCTCCCACATTTTTTGGGGAGCGCCACGGCAGGCTGGCCACCACCTCACAAGGGTGTCTGTCCAGCAGCACCAGCAGGGCCCTGTTCAGGCTGTTGAGGGCTCTCATCTCGCTGATGGAGGGCAGGTTTGTGCAGATGGCCCACACGATGCTCATGCCCTGCATCGGCTGGAAATCAGAGTCTGCCACAAGAACGTCCACTATGTCGGATGCCGCTGTGATGGTGTCGGTGATTCTGCCCCTCTTCTCTGCTCTCATGAGACCCCACCTGGAATACTGCATTCAGCTCTGGAGTTCCCAACACAAGAAGAACATGGAGCTGCTGGAGTGGGTCCAGAGGAGAATCACGAAGATGATCCGAGGGCTGGAGCACCTCTGCTATGGAGACAGGCTGAGAGAATTGGGGTTGTTCAGCCTGGAGAAGAGAAGCCTCCAGGGTGATCTTATTGCAGCCTTCCAGTACTTAAAGGGGGCCTACAGGAAAGCTGGAGAGGGACTTTTTGCAAGGACATGTAGTGATAGGACAAGGGGTAATGGCTTTAAACTGAAAGAGGGAGTATCTAGATTGCATATAAGGAAGAAATTTTTCACTGTGAGGATGGTGAGGCACTGGAACGGGTTGCCCAGAGGAGTTGTGTCTGCCCCATCCCTGGAAGTGGTCAAGGCCAGGTTGGATGAGGCTTTGGGCAACCTGGTGTACTGGAGGGTTTCCTTTCCCATGGCAGGGGAGTTGGAACTAGATGATCTTTGAGGTTGCTTCCAACCCAAACCATTCTATGATTCTATGATTGTATGATTCTATTATTTGCATTCACATTATATGGAGTCAACTAGCTCAAACGGGTGGATGTGGTGTTATTGAAAGTTTGTACATTCAAACTCCAGACAAATCTTATATTTAACACTGACAATTATTCTTGCTGAGTCATACCAGTGGGAAGAGTCACCTGGCAGACCTTGGTCAAATGTTGCTTTGTAAGGGTCCTTGTAATCTACTTCTGTTGACTCAGAATACATAGTAGTAAAGAATGTGTCGGCAGTCTTCTCATGCCTTGTTGCCCTGAGGAATGAATACAGATTTAGTAAATCCCAAAGGATCTTCAGGATGATGGGAATGTACTGAGTTTTTTGGGAAAGAACAGAGAACGTTTGGAGGCAGCCACACCTTTCTGTTCATCCAGAAGATAACCCCAAGTGTGATATCTTTGTACTTCTTCAAAGGAGACAGGTTACTGAGCTTTCTCCTTAGTTTTTTTGGTTAAGATGAGTGTGAAGACATGTGATACAAAATTTTCACAGAGGTGTAAATGGACAGCTAAAACCAGAGATCCCAGGAACAATATAGCCAATCTAGACTATTTTATTTCTTTAATAACAATTTTTAAAGGAAATAATATGCTTAGAGAGGCAAAGCAATCTGTTTCCATGGAAGAATACCTCGCTATTATCCACAAGTGATGTTTAAAGTTGTAATATTTTATTCTGATATGTGAAACGCAGTTCTGGCCTCCATTTAGTTTTTGCTGAGGTGGTGATAGCCTTAGTTAGGCTAAGAACTGGCTCTTACACTTCAACAATGTCGCAATGAGATACCTGACCAGAAAAGTTCAGTTTAAAAATGTCCATTAGGCATAGAAAGATGCTGCTGCTGGGCTGGCTAGTCATGCCAAGTCTCTCAATACTCAGAAGCACAGCTGTCACTGGTAGGTCTACAGTGCCTGACTTGGTATCATCATTCCATCTGAATCTCAGCTTAAGCCCTTTCCTTGTATTTTCTTCCAAAATTTCAGCTTTCAATTTTTTCAAATTTGGAGTTTTGACACGAGGAAGAGCATCAGTGTAGGGTCTGGAACCTAAATGGTCTAGAAAAGTCCAAACACTGGCCTTTAGATGGCAGTGTGTACCTGTTGAATAGGAATTCTTCCGCCACAGGGTAAATCTGTGAAGCAGAAACAATTTTCTAAGGTGGAACTGAGACGAGGTTATATTATCGAACTAAAATGAAGTGGAGATCCCACCTGAGATCCCGCCTTATCAGAATTTCATTGTTGGCTGGCTGCATCCGACTAAAATTTAGTGAACAGACAGGAGGAAATGATTAAATTGGTATGCTTATTTTTTCTTTAATGTTTGAAGAACATATATTGAAACTTTCGATTTGGATTTACCAGAGTAAACCTAAATTGATAGTTGCCTGTGATACTTTTCAGCCTCTCCCTTCATGAAAAGATGCTACAAGGAGTTCAAAGAAGTTAATGACAGTTGCATATCATACACCAAATTCTGCTTTTGCACAGACAGACAGAGCCATCAGAAAGGGAGATCCATACATATGCATAAATCCAGAGATTTTAATGTGAACGTAGCAGTAAAACAGTAGTCTAGTGTATGGTCTCCGTGTTTTTGGGGAGGAGAGGAAGAACAACTAATTTTTTGTAAGTGTCTTCAAAAAGTCATTACGCTACGCCTGTCACTTTTACTGTACACTGTATCTGCACTGTACATAAATATAACTCATATTTTATTTATCTTATTTATTATATTAATATTGTAAAGGCCTTTTGGTTTTCTGAACAGCTGAGGTTTTGTTGCGTTCTGTAGTGTCATTACTAAGGGAAAGAATGGAGGTAAAATTTGCACAGAAATAAAATTGCTCAGTAAGTTTTATTTCTTGTTTCATGCAAACCAGATATATTTTACTTTGAGAGTTTCTATTAAACCTTTGGGTTGTGTACTTGGGAGAACTTTCTCATCTGTCTGTAAAGGAAAATGAGTAGATATTTAGAATTCTATTTGAAATATAGAATTTTTACAAGGGAAACTTTAAAAATGTAGACATATGTATGTACTTTCAACTTCAAAAAAGCATTAGATTCTAGAGTTTAAAAAATGTAATTTATTTCTAAAGACTCTCTGGAACACATATGCCCCAGATACGAATTTCTAGTCTTGCCTATGAAAGAATACTCCAAGGATTGCATATGTTTCCAAAAGCAGTAATTTACTTCCAATCAATGACAACTAAGTGAGTATTCATGAATGTACAAATGTTTATCAATGGTGCATGCAGGTAATCTGAAACTCACCAGCAGCTAATAGATAACTTCAGACAGATAAAGACTCATGTGACCCCATTTTTTCTCCCTGAACTTTATCTAGTTCAAATAAAAGACATTCATGTTGCCTGCAAATATTTCATACCTATGTCCTCTAGCTGTGATGATCTAAGGATTATGAACACCATGTAAGATACGTATAGACTAGACTGCATGGGCCACCCAATGTCAGTTTTTATGCAATCATGTTATCTGCCTCAAAAAACATGTTGGCAAATGCATTTGCTTTAAAATTTGTGTGACCCTCTACAGACACAAAATGTTTCTATTCCTGTTTTTATTCACTTGAATAGCAAACTTGGCGTTGTTTTCAGTGATGAAGAATTAATTATTAAACTACTTAGGGATTTATATTAGTCCTATAGACATTATTAAAAAAACTTCACTGAATTTAGGGAAATCTGATGTGTCCTTTGAAATTTTTAGAATTAGGCCATTTATTTCAATTTATTTATAATAATGAATTTAGAAATGAAACATTAGGAAATGTCTATTTGAAACTACAAGGACCTGCAGTGTGATCTAATGCAGACCGGAATTTCCAACTGTTTAACCTCTTCAGTATATGTCTTCATCTCTCCCTAAACTTCTCTGAAACAGTCTGTCTCAGGTATTTATCCATTATGCAGATCTTTAGGAATGAAATCTCTTTATGTGTTTCTATAGGGCCTACCATCATAGCTATCTTCACCTTGATTGTGAAGAAGTAGCAGTAATTACAACAGGCCTGTGTAGCAAGATACAGAAGAACATGCCCATGTAGCAACATGCAGAAATGCTGAGAATCTTGGAAGGTCTATATCTGTTCTAATCGGAGCAGATGAGCGAGAATCAGTAGATGTGTTTGTTTTTCTAGCGTTATGCCTCAATTCAGGAATTCTTAATGCCAGCGCCTATCCTGCTACACTGCAGGTAAAATTACAGAATTATGAATGTATCTGATTCAAAAGACATACCTCCAGGTTTATCTATAACAGTTTTACAGAATTGCAATTATACAGTAACACAAAAATCACCAGGGTAGTCTATGCTTACTCTGAATCCAGTCTTCAAGTGCAAGTACTGTTTCTTTTGAAAAGCTGTGTTTAGCTGTTTTCAACATCTTTCTGGAAAAATTAAAGCTTGTGGTATGTTTTTGTTTGAGTGTTTTTTGTTTGGTTGGTTGTTTTTTTTAGTTAGTGGTTAAATACAATGAGTTTGCCATTGACGTAATCGAATCTAATTTGTTGTAGAAATAGTATACATGATTACTACTTCCTCTTGGCCAACTCTGAAATTAAACTTTTCAGCAGCTCTCTTCTAGGAGAGTAAATACAAAATTATAAACTTTATTAAATTTGAGCAATACTTGTGTTGATCAGTAGTGTCTTTGATATAGTGTTTAAAATATTTCAGTAATGAAAAAAACTGTAAAAATTTAGACTAATTCATCATAAAAATACTTTAAGAAACCCACTCCCCCAAGACCCAAACATCATCATGTTATCAACTCATCTTGAACTACAGCTGTGTGCATACTGTAGTTTTGTATAAGCCTGCCCAACAGCATCTGAAAACAAACAGAGCTGCTGTCAATCTTACCGATTTTTGGCTGAGAAGAAAGTCAAAATCAGAAAAGGCTCTGGAGAGTGGTCTGAAATGTAGAATGGGGTCTGATTTGCTTCTTCTAGCAAGAGCTAAACAATAACAAATTATTAGATTTTTGTAGCCCTTTGTCTTTTCTTGTTCCTGTAATACTGTTCACAAATGCCATGAAGTTAAATATCCGTCTTTGCTTATTGCCATGCAAACACACCCTCTTGGCTTAGGGACACGTGACATTTGAGCAGGCTCTGTAAAAAAAGAGAAAAGTGTGTAAATGGAATACAACTACTCTGCTAACTTTCATTACGCAG